CAACACCATTTCTATGGGCACATCATGGACCTCTTTTCTAGGGGTGAATCCTACCCCTCAGTGAGACCATGTGACCTTGAAGCTCTTGACGGGATTTCTTCCACTTTAAATCACGGCTGGCCAGCCAACATCCATGGAGGGACCTTCTATGTGCTGGCCACGTTTGCTATCCACCCTGTGAGGTCACTGTGTTGGTCCCGTGTCAGGCCCCCCAGGAACGGCCTGAGGAGCTGCAAGATCTCACGTGCTGGATCTTTAAAGGAATGCCAGGAAACCAAGGCTCAGAGTAGCGCAGTGTCTTGTCCAATACCACATGGCTGGCCTGACCAGCATGGCTCAGTGGTTGAGCATTGACCTATGAACCAGGAGGTCACGGTTCGATTCCCAGTCAGGGCACATGCCCGGGTTGTGGGATCCATCCCCAATGTGGGGTGTGCAGGGGGCAGCCGATCAATGGTTCTCTCTCATTGATGTTTCTATCGCTCTCTCCCTCTCCCTTCCTCTGTGAAATCAATAAATATATATTTTTCGGGGAAAAAATACCACATGGCTGGCCTGCAGAGGAACTGGATTCAAAGCCAGGCCCGTGTGACTCCCAAAACTGCTTATCCCACCAAGTCATCTTGCCTCGAAAGCAGCTTACGCCCATGCAATCCACAATTGTCTAATGGACATGTGCTGGTGCTGGGCACAGGGCCAGGCCTTGGGAATGCACCAGGTGTTCTGGTGGCTCACACGTTTCTACCAGGAGCACAGAGGAGGAGCCCCTAACAGCTGCTGACCAAAACGCCCCCTCCCTCCCTCTTTCCTCCCAACCTTGTCTGCCCCCCAGCCCTTCCTGCAATTAGGCTTGCACCCCCCACAATGCAAGCAAGACCGCTGCTCCCAGGTGACCCCACACCCCAGGCGGCAGCTCGAGGCTCCCGAAGGCCCTAGGCTCTCACTTGGCGTGAAGAAGTCAGTATTGTGACCAAGTCCCTCTCTCTTCCCTCGGAGCTCCTCTCTCCTCCCTGCCTCTCTCCCATCAGGGTTCCCTAAGCATTCCCAGGGGTGGGTGACCCATGGGGGAAACCTCCCGCCAGGCCCCTCACACACACCCCCCATTGTTCACGCTCCTACCTCAGAAAGCGCAGGCTCAGTCTCGGAATTCTCAGGCCCCAGTATTCCACCAGCTGAAGTTTGGGGGCGGGGGGGGGCGGGGGCAGGGGCCCCAGAGGGCGTCCCCATCGGGAGCTTACAAACCCAAACCAAGAATCTGAGCAAGAAGGGGAAGCCCCACCCTAGCAGGAAGGCATGGAACCTGAGGACAGAATCGAGGGGTGTGGTGGCAAACATGGACTGTGCCCACCCCCCCCCACCTCATTCAGGCCATTTGGTGCCCCTTTTCCCACAGCTGTGTTGAGATTTAATTCACATACCATACACTCACTTGTTTCAAGTGTACAGTTCAATGGCTCTTAGTATATTCACAGAACTGTGCCAGCATCACCCTTAGAGCATTTTGTCACCCCAAAAAGAAAGCCCACACCCCTTAGCCATCACCTCAACCCTCGCACACCCCCCGCCACCACAATAACTTCAGTAACCATCTGCCATCGTAAGAAATTATTACAATAACATTGACTGTTTTCCCTAAGCGGTACATTACATCCAGACGACTTCTTCAAATAACTGGAGGTTTGTACCCCTTATTCCCCTTCCCCCTTTTCACCCATCCCCCCACCCCCCTCCTCTCTGGCAACCATCAGTTTGTTCTCTGTATTTATGAATCTATTTATTCATTTGTGTTTTTTTTGTTTTTGTTTTTTTAATATATTTTATTGATCCTTTTTTACAGAGAGGAAGGGAGAGGGACAGAGTTAGAAACATCGATGAGAAACATGGATCAGCTGCCTCCTGCACACCCCCCACTGGGGATGCGCCCGCAACCAAGGTACATGCCCTTGACCGGAATCGAACCCGGGACCTTTCAGTCCGCAGGCCAACGCTCTATCCACTGAGCCAAACCAGTTAGGGCTATTCATTTGTTTGTTTGTCAGATTCCACATATCGA